CGAAATCGTCGAACCATGATCGAAAACTCATCCCCAGACTATGGCTGGACTACGTTTGCTTACTCTCCCTGCAGAGGGACGTGCCCGCCTTGAGCTCAGCGTCGCGGCGCACGCTCGCGCGCAGACGCGGTCGAGCCCCGGCAGCCCTGCGGCCGCGCCCGCCAGCCCGCTCCTCCGACCGCGCCTGCGCGCTCCAGCTCGCCCGCTCGCCGCGGCGCCCGCCCGCCCGCGCGCCCGCGCGCGCCCCTTTTATCGCCTACGCCTCGGTCGCGCACGCCCTCCAGCAGGCGGACTACGGCAGAAAGCATCGAAACCGTGCAAAACGAATCCCCCCCCAAAATTAATCAGAGGAGCACGACGCATCGTCCACAGACTAGTTGTGACTATTCTGGAACACTCCGCCCGTAGAGGGCTTAAGCCAAATCACGCGCTCGCACGCCCTCCCCCGCGGATGAGACCTGGCTCCTCCCGTCCCGCCATCGCACGACGACGACGACCGACGCACGACGACGACGACGACGACCGCACGACGACGACCGCACGACGACCGCACGACGACGACGACGACGACGACGACGACGACGACGACGACGACGACGACGACGACGACGACCGCACGACGACGACGATGATGACCGCACTACGTCGACGACCGACGGACACCTGCAATCCTCTGGTGGCCCCTCTTCTCTGTTCTCTCACCCCCTTTCGGCCCCTCTCCTTGAGTAGGGACAGGCCGTCCCGGCATTCCTAATAGGCCTACCACGACATATTCTTAGAACCCAGACATGTTCTAAGAACAAAGACAAGCTTCTTAGAAAATGAACCCGGTGTCCTGAAACAAGACTATCTCGGCCAGAGGTGTTCTAAGAACCTTTCGTGCAGACCCCACAAGGTCCTTCGAGCAATCATTGGTGGGCCTATGGGCAAGCAGGGGCGCTTTGCCACTGTTTGATCTCCACTTCCGCTCCTCTCCCGCCCCTCTCCGAGACGAAGCCAGGACCGGGCCATCACAGGACCGGGATGAGCCGGGGATCTCTGGGACCTGGCGGATCTGGACGATGCACTGGGCGCCACAGCCGTTCCAGCGCTTTCCGCAACGCTCTGGAAGCGCTGCGAGCCAGTCCTAGCCGCGCACGGCTCCCACTCCGCTTCCGCTCCATCCTTCCCCCCCGCTCCGGCGGTCCTGAGTGTCCGGGCCGCCACCGCCCGTTCCGAGAGGCTCGGCAGGTCCTCTTCGCGGCCCAGCATCGGACGCGCGGCCACACACGTCGCCGGAGTCGTCGGATGGTGGTGGTCGTCGTCGATGTCCGTCAACGCCGTCGTCGTCGCCGTTGCCGCGGTCGCGGTCGCGGTCGTGATCGTGGCCGTGGTGGCGTTGGTGGTGGTTGTCGTTGTCGTTGTCCGCCGCCGTCGTCGCTGCCACCGTCGCCGTCGTCGTCGTGGTCGCGGTCGCAGCCGTGGTGGTGTTGACGATGGAGATGGTCGTCGTTGTCCGCAGCCGTCGCTGCCGCCGCCGCCGCAGCCGCCAACGCCGTCGTCGTCGTCGTTGTCGTCGTCGTCGCCGTCGCCATCGCCGTCGCCGTCGCCGTCGCCGTCGCATTCGTCGTCGTCGTCGTCGTCGTCGTCGTCGTCGGCGTCGTCGGCGTCGTCGTCGTCGTCGCCGTCGTCGCTGTCGTTGTCGTCGTCGTCATCGTCGTCGTCGTCTTCCTCGTCGTCGTCGTTGTTGTCGTCGTCGCCGTCGTCAAGGCCGTCGTGGTCGCGGTCGTGATCGTGGTGGTGTGGATGGTGGTGGTCCTCGTCGCTGTCCGTCGTTGTCACCGCCAGCGGCGTTGGCGAAGAAGGAGGCGGACGAGGGCCGGGGAAGCGTCGGAGGGGAACGCGCGGCAGCCTGCCGCTCCTGCTTAGCGGCCCTAGGCGATGTGATCGTCGACGCGCTGCCGCTCGGGCCGCTGCTGGCCCGCGTGCGCGGCATGCCGCGCGACGCGGCACGGCGTGCGCGACGGGGCACGGCGCCCGGCCGCGGCGTCAACGGATCAAGGCTTGGGGCGGCCACTCCAGCCTGGCCGCCTCCATGCGCCCGCGTGGAGGCGGCGGCTCACCGCGGGGCCGGTCTGCTGGCCGATATGCTCGCGGGGGCCGGCATGAGGTGGCTGCACAGCGGAGCCGCGTGCGCTACGACGCGGCAGAGGCTTTGCTTGGCCTCCTCCCGTCGGCGAATTCGAACTTTCGTCAAAATACGGTGTAAGCTCTCCGAGCTGCATGGCGACACAATTTTTGACCTATATTCCATTATGTGCCTGTTTCTGTTCAGCGTACCACTACACTCTCAGACTCTCTTCACATATAGGACTGCTTCCTTTTCCCAAAACGAGCCGTTTAAGATTTGAACAGCATGGGAACAACATCTCGATGCAACCCATGCTCGGCGCAGGAGGCCGCGTGCGCGCCTGCTTCGCGACGCGCTTGCTCACCACGGCGGCCGCCGAGGCCGCGACGAGGAGCACCACGGCGCGGGCCCGGGCGTCTGCAGGGGCCCTGGGACACACAAATAAATACACACAAATAAAAAGATCCCCCATATTTTTCCATACTTTCTGGGCCTCTGTCTTCCCCCCCACTGCCCACATTTCCCCATCTTTTCTGGGGGATCGACGATTCATTGTGTCTGTGTGTGTGTGTGTGTGTGTGTTTTCTTGCCTCCTGAACCAAGGCTCGCCGCTGGGGCCTGCGGTGCGGGCGGCGCTGGGCGCCCAGGGGCGGCCCCTGGCCACGGGCTGCTGCGGCGGCGGCGCAGGCCTGCGGCGCGCCACGCGCCCCCGCTCCGCTGGGGCCGCCGCGGGCGGAGGCAGGGCCGCGGGCCAAGGCCACGGGCGGCCCCGCTCGTGGGCCGCGCGGCGGCGTTGCCGAGCGTGCGTGAGGCGGAGCGCGTGCGGTTCTGCGGGCACCCGGGCAGGCTCAACGGAAGGGGCCCTGGGGCACGCAAGCAGATCCACACAAATAACAGGATCCCCCCTGTTTTCCTAGATCTTCTGGGTTTCTGTCTTCCCCCCCACTTCCCATAGTTTCCCATCTTTTCTGGGGGGTCGACGATGAATTGTGTCTGTGTGTTTTTTCTCCTCCTGATCAACATCGGCTAGGCGTAAGAGTGACCCTGGGTAAGAGTGACCTTTGGTGCGCGGCTTTTTGGGGGCCGCGGGAGACCAAACCTGGGCGCGCAGGCCGCTGTTGCCGCTTCGTTTTCAACCATCTGAGGACCCATCTGTGCCCGCACCAAAGGTCACTCCATCGAAAGGTCACTCTTATATCTAGTCGACAACAACACCGGGCTGTTGCCAGACGCCGATAGGCTGCCTTTGTGGCGGCGCGCAGAGAGGGTAGGGCCGGGGTAGGGGGAGGGGGGAAGGTCTCTTAGAAGAGGGCTGCTTCTTAGAAGGCGCCGGCCCTGCATGTGTAGAGAAGGCCCGTGCCTTCTAAGAAACAACCCCCTTCTAAGAAGCCTTCCCCCCTCCCGCTACCCCCCTCTACGCGTGGCCGAGCCTTGCAAGGGCAGTTGCTCGTTGACCTTCAATGGGCAAAGTGGGAGGAGTCGACGTGGAGATTTCGTGGCGCGTGGCACGCGTTGCACGGCGTGGTGCGTGGCACACGTTGCCGCAGAGATTCCTGCAGAGCTGTGGGGGCTGTCAAAGGTGAGGCTCCCACAAATGACTGTGCGCCCTCTGCGCTGGCTCGCTGAGCAACCTCCAACGCATGCACCACTGGCCAGGAGCTCCAGGACGAGGTCCGCGAGCGCTGGCCCTCCAGATCGGGCACCGTGGCAACACTGGCAAAGCGCGACCCTCGACGAACTCGGCCCGAAGGTCCGCTAATCACCTGGGGCTCCTCACCGCCGCCCTAGTCCACGTGTCCGGGAGGAGGGGAGGAGGAGGAGGAGGAAGAGAGGGATGAGGGGAGGAGGAAGAGAGGAGGAGGGGGAGGGAGGGAGGAAGAGGGGAGAGGAGAGGATGAGGAGGAGGAGGGAGAAGGGGTGGGAGGAGGAGGGAGGAAAGGAGGGAGGAGGAGAAAGAGGAGGGAGGAGGAGGAAGAGGAGGAGGAGGAGGAGGAGGAGGAGGAGGAGGAGGAGGAGGGGAGGAAGAGAGGGAAGGAGGATGGAGGAGGAGGAAGAAGAGGGAGCGCCGGACGAGCAGCGTGACCGGGGGAGGGCGGAATCTAAAAAAAAACGTTCGCTGCTGCGGCCTACGCGCACGTCGCTCTCCCGGCCTCTCGCTCCCTCCTGCCCTCTCTCTCCCCCCTTTGTGGCTCGTTCTGCTCCTGCTGGTTCTCTCTCTCTCTCTCTCTGGCTGCCCCTCTTCCTCTTGCCTCTCTTCCCTGCTCTCTCCTTCCTTCTTCCCTCGTTCGCTTTCCCCTCCTTCTCTTACGTAGGTCGGGCATGTCCCCCTATTGGCGGATTTCGGGCGAAAGTCGAAGAGCATCCCAAAAATATGCAAAACTAGCCAAGCATGCTGGAAACATCGTCCCCCGACGATTTGCATTATTCCTACTACTTTTGAACTCTCCTCCTGTGGAGGGACAGGCCCGACTGAATCCTTCCCTCGGGGGTGCCGCCCTGGCCCGCGGGGCCCCCGCCGGCCTGCGGGCCCGGTCCCCGCCCTGCGTCGGGCCTTGGCGGGACTGGGTTTAGCGGGACCTTGTTTCGTGATGTGCACTGGGGACCCATTCCACTAACCCCTAATTATGTGTATGCGTTTGGGTCTAGCGCGGGTTTACTGAATGATAACCTGGGTCAGTTCCGTCAGTGGAGTGATACTGACCCCTGGGTTTCCTGATGTGTACTGGGGACGCCCCCCCCGCGCCCCATTCCACGGACCGGAACTGCCGTCACCCGAACCACACCAGCTGCGGCAGACCTGGTTTAGTGATTCCGGTCCATACTTTGGGCTTCGGGGCTTGCGGGCCCCTCCAACGGCGGCCTGCGGCCCCATGCGCGCGCGCGCTGGCCCCGACCCGCGGGCCACCCACCCGTGAGGGGCAAATATTCCACCACCGCTGCCACATGTAGGACGGGGGAGCAGGGAGGATGAGGAGGTCCTCCTCCTCCTCCTCCCCTCCTCCTCCTCCTCTTCCTCCTCCTCATCCCTCCCTCTCCTCCTCCTCCTCCTCCTCCTGCTCCTCCTCCTGCTCCTGCTCCTGCTCCTGGTGCTGCTGCTCCTCCTCCTCCTCCTCCTCCTCCTCCTCCTCCTCCTCCTCCTCCTCCCCTTCCTCCCCCCCATCCTACATATGGTAGCGGTGGTGGAAAAAAGGCGCATCAACCGAGCCCTTGCCAAATGGTGCTCCATCCTACTACAGCCTCGATCCCCAGAAAACATGTCGTGCACCAGGAAAGTGCCAGAACTTGAGGTTTTCACGCGTCGGGCCCTGGGAGGCGATACTCGTTCGACACCGTTTCGATACTGCTTTGGGTGCTCAAAATGATTTCTGGAATCTGGTCCTCACGCACGATGGGAACACGATAACCCTTGCCCCTCTTCCTTTCCTTCTGGGCTGCGATGCAGTCGGCCCGAATCTTAAGGATGCGCGGTGAGGACGCAAAGGGCCTTGGAGGACGACCACTCCGGAGCTTCTCTAGCGGGGCGCGGCCAAGGACATTGGCCAAGGATGGACCGAGGAGAGGCAGGGATGCAAGGGCCCTTGGGAAGGGCGCCCATCCTTACCGTGCGGGTTGACGGTAACACGCTGCTCCTATGTCGCTGCTGCCTGCGGGCTGCTTTCGCATGCGTGCGGCTGGCGCTGGGAGAGCTGCCGCCAGTTCCCCCCCCCGATTCTTACCCAGCGCTGTCCATTTAGGCGCCCGAGATGGGTACGGACAAAATGGGCACACATGCCCAACGACAGATGTTGCCCCGAACCAACAGCGGCCGCTGCTGGGCAAGCGGCCCTTCTGCCTCGAAGGGGCACAGACCGCGGCGGCGTGGACAGCGAGCCCCGTTCGGAATGAACTGACTACCTGCCAGACCACCCCAACCCAACCCGAAGACCCGGATTTCGGGGGGGGGGTATGGGTTCCATACGTGCTTTTTCGATGTTCCCCGACCCCCCCCCAACTGGAAATGGAGGGCTAACTGAGGCCTTCGGGTTGGGTTGGGGTGGTTTGGTGGGTGGTGATGAACAGGACCTGCTGTGGGGCACTGTGCCCCTCCTTTCCCTGCCCGCTTCGTTCCTGCCGAGCACAGCGAAGCCCACGCGAATTCACGCCCCGACCTCCGGCCTCGGCCACACGAGCTCCGGGAGCCGGGCCGGGCCCCGGGGAGAGGCTCGGCAGCCACGGGGGGGCGGGGGGACCAGGAGGGCATTCGAGCATTCGGACCCAAGAAGGCGAGCGTCTGAAGTCCGCGGGGGCTTCGCGCGACACGCGCCCCTCGGCCGCCCGCACGGGCGGAGCGTAGCCACGACCGTCTCCCGCCCACAGGGGGACGTGGCGGGAGATCCCGTGAGGGGGAAGGAGGAGAGGGGCCCAGGCCTTTGGAGGGTGAAAGTGGGGGTCGGGCGCAGGGTCCCGGCAATGATGTTTTTTAAAGTCGTGAATGGGCGATGCATCCTCGATTGCTGTGTTCGGTGGGGGAACTAATTGAAGCCCCCCGCCTGCGCCCGCGCGCGAGACTTGAGGGGAAAGGAAGCAAGGGGGCGGGGGGCTCGGGAAAGGCGACGAAGGCAACGTGCGCTAAGGGCGCAACAAGAACAGGCTGGAACACACGAAAGCGGTCAGGTGAGTGTCGAAATCTGCCAGTCTCGAGGTCGGAGGTCACCTCCGACCTCATGGTTCGTTCATGGCGTCGAACCCGGTCTCGACCCATTCCCCGGGACCCGTCCTGTCATCCCGAGTCGCTTCCTGACGCTTACCGAGGCACGCGAAACACACCCCGTCGCGATTTTTCCTCACCGCTCGAGGGGGCCTTGGGGGAGGTGGGATGGGAGCAGAGGAGGGGAAACGGGGAGGGGGGAGGAGGACTCTAGGGTTCTGGGTTGGTCTCCTCGCGCGCTCCCGCGGCGACGGGGCACAGGGGCTATGGCAGAAACGGCCACAGCAGGCAGCCACCGACGCCGATGCCGACGACGACGATGACGACGACCACGACGACGACGACGACGACGACGCTGGCGGAGGCGGCGGCGGCGTTGCGACGGGCGAAGACGGCGACGCCGCGACAGCGACAGCGACGACCGACAATTGCGGCCCGCAGCGGCGAGGGGGAGAAGGGGGGGAGGATGGCGGGGTCAGGACCGGGGGCAGCATGGGGCAGGTGGACGTGACGGGCGAAGACGGAGACGCCGACAACAACAACGACGACCGACAGGACGCCCGCAGGGGCGAGGGGGGGATGGCGGAGTCAGGAGCGGGGGCGGCACGGGGCCGGCGGAGGTGGCGGGGGGAGAGGCACCCGTGCCCGCTGGCGGCTCCGGCAGGATGGTGAACGAACCGCGCACGACGTCGAAGGTGCTCGCCTGGAGGGCAGGACCAAACAAGCTGATGATGATGATGATGATGATGATGATGATGATGATGATGATGATGATGATGATGAGGAGGAGGGGAGGAGGAGGAGGAGGAGATCGAGGCTGAGAAGGAGGAGGTGGAGGAGGAGGAGGAGGAAGAGGAGGGGGAGATGATGATGATGATGATGATGATGATGATGATGATGATGATGATGATGATGATGATGATGATGATGATGATGATGATGATGATGATGCTGCTGCTGATGCTGATGCTGATGCTGATGCTGATGATGCTGATGCTGATGCTGATGCTGACGATGATAAGGAGGAGGAGGACCAAGGATCATGGCTTCCAAATGTTGCTTGCCTGTCTTGGGGCCTCTCCAAATCTCCCGGGGCAACCGTGGACCTCCAGCGTCCCGCGGAGACCAGCGGACACCCGTGGAGTCTTCGGGGGTCTCGGAGGGCCCCTTGGAGACCCGAGAAGAGATACTGGCCCCCTCGGGGGGCCTCGTCGCCGCGGCGGGACCCGCCTCGCGAGCCTGGCCAGGGCGCGCTCCAAGACGGGCACCGGGGGACACGTTTGCAGGAGGGCCCCACTGAGCCTCACTCCTCCCGGAGGCCGGCCGCAGAGGGGCGGGCCGGGGGGGGCCGGCCCCGCGCGGCTCTCCCGGGCCTGGGCCGGCCGGGGGAGGCCGGCGGGGACGACCAGCCCTGCGGCCCTGGCGGTGGAGGGGGCCTTACGGACACACGAGGAGAGGCACACAGAGGAGGACTGCAGGGTGCCCCCCTCCTCTTGCGTAGTTTTTCCGGATCTTCGTCTGCCCCCCCCCCCCCCACTTTCCCATATTTCCCCCACCTCTTCCCGGGGATCGACGATTCATGGTGTCTGTGCGTGCTTTTTCCCCTCCCGAGCGCTGCAATGTCTTCGGGCCGGGCTTTTCCACTCGGCTTCGGGCCCCGGGGCCCTCACAGATCGATCCCGCTCGAAGCAGGACGCAGAGGGATTGGGTCTGGGGCTCCGGGCGTGGTTTATGCTGCAACTTTTTCGCTACGTCGGATCTCAGGGAGGGAGGGCTGGCGTCCACGACTTTCAAGGCGGCAGGAGGATGATCATACGACTGAGCAGAGAAGCAACACCCGAGCACAGCACCCTGGAAAAGGGAAAAATGACAGGTCATCCGCATCGCTTGGGAGGGGCGGGCATGATTGGTTAAGTGGGACCCCCATCGGAGGTGGGCAGATCTTACGTGTCTTGTGGCAACTGGCTCTGGGGTTGGAGCTCCTGGGCAAGGATGGGACGGGCAAGGAAGGCCAGCAAAGGGGCAAGAGGAACACATTGCCCCATCCTCAGAGCCGTGCCAAGAGCCAACCCCGATCGAACCTAGACCGCTCACTCGACCGCTTGGCCGTGGACCATATTGAAGCCAGCCTCTCAGTTGCAAACCTTCCACAGAGAGCACAGTAGAGTCGGGCTGCTGATAGAAGGAACGATCATTAAGGAACGAAGCCCTTTTTTGGCGCCAACAGCGCCTGGGTGCACGAGAAGAGCTAGAGGAACAACCACGGAAAGACCTGAGGAACATCAGACTCCTTCTGAACCCAAGCTGTTCTTTCCTACGGCGTCTTGACTGTACAGAGTTGGGAGTTCGCTCCCGCCCTTCATTTTCCTCTCTCTCGCACGTCCTCGCTGTCTTCGTCGTCGTCGTCGTCTCCTCCTCCTCCTCATCCTCCTCATCCTCCTCCTGCGCTTCATCTTTCTCCTCCTCCTCCTCTTCCTCCGCCTTCTCCTCCTCCTCCTGCTCGTCCTGCTCCTGCTCCTGCTCCTGCTCCTGCTCTTCCTCCTCCTCCTCCTCCTCCTCTCTCCAACTCTCTCTCTCCTCCTCCTCCTCCTCCTCCTCTTCCTCGTCTCCTCCTCCTCCTCCTCTCTTCCTCATCCTCCTCTTCCTTGTCCTCCCCTCCTCCTCCCCTGCGCTTCATCTTTCTCCTCCTCCTCCTCCCTCCGCCCTTCCTCCTCCTCCTCCGCCTCCTCCTGCTCCTCCTGCTCCTGCTCCTGTTCCTGCTCCTCCTTCCTCCTCCTCCTCCTCCTCCTCTCCTCCTCCTCCTCCTCCTCCTCCTATCCTCTCTCTCTCTCTCTCTCTCCGTCTCTCTCCTCCTCCTCCTCCTCCCTCCTCCTCCTCCTCCTCCTCCTCCTCCTTCCTCCTCTTCCTCCTCCTCCTCCTCTTCTTCTTCCTCCTCCTCCGCCTCCTCTTCCTTCTCATCCTCCTCCTCCCTTTCCTCTCTCTTGCGCGCCCATCGGGACTCCCCCAGACAGCCCGCCCCGCGCGCGGGCGCCCGAGGCCCCCGGCGCCAGGCCGCCACGCTCCGCCCCCTGCCTCCCGCCCCAGTGCGCGTCACACACCACACCACCACCGCTCCGCCACGCACGTGGCAGATGACGCCTCCTCCTCCTCCCCCTCCTCCTCCTCCTCCTCGACGCTCCTCCTCTTCCTCCTCCTCCTCCTCCTACTCATCTCCTCTCCTCCTCCTTCCCAGTCTCCTCCTCCTCCTCCTTCAGTGGTCCTCCTCCTCTCCTCCTCCTCTCCTCTTCCTCTTCCTCCTCGTCCTCCTCGTCCTCATCCTCCTCCTCCTCCTCCTCCTCCTCCTCTTCCTCCTCCTCCTCCTCCTCTTCGTCTTCCTCCTCCTCGACCGGCCCCTCGTGTCTCTCAGACTCCAACTCCTATCTCTGGGGCTCCACCGCCCCGCCCGCCTGCCCGCGCCTCCCTTCCTATTCGATTGCCCCTCCCCTTCCGTAAGCCGTCGACGCCTCCGACCACCCGGCCGCCCTCTTTGCTCCAGCTGGCCCACAAGTGGCGGCAACGCCGCGCCTGCGATCACGCCCGCCGGGTAGGGGGGAATTGAGCAGGGACCGACCGTCCCGGCAATCCTATAGGCCTACCACGGAATGTTCCTAAAACCTAACAATGTTCTAAGAACAAAAGCAATCCTTTTAGAACATAAACCCGATCTGTTTCAACAATATTGTCCCAGCCAACACAATGTTCTAAAAATATTTCGTGGAAACCACAAACGGTTCTCAGAACATTGTTTGGTAGGCCCATAGGCGAACCAAGACGCTTCGCCACTGCCTGGGGGAGGAGGCGGAAGGCGCCGGCCAGCCTCACCCAGATACAGGCTGCCGCCGACATGATTCGGCCAATCTTTCATCGCACTCTTTGTCTTGGCCTTCCACTCGACGAGGATGTCCTGCAGGTGCACGGCCGCCGCGTTTCCCAGAACGCACTGTGCGGCGCGCTTGAGCTCACTCCGCTGCCCTGCTGCATGCTTACTGCTGTCATTACAGATCGTCTGCTCGCCCATATCGAGAGCTCGCTGTAGCCGCCGCGCATTCCTCTGCGACGGCGCAGAATGGCACATCAAAATGAGGAGCTGCGCTCGGTCGACTACTGCTTTGAAGTTGCCGTTCAGCGCGGGCTCGCCCACCTCGTCCAAGATCTGAGCAGCTTGCAGAACGCGACCGCACAACATGTGAGCTTTCGACATAGCAACATAAGCGATGATCCGCCACCGCGACGTTAATGCGGCGGGCATGCGAGTAGGCCCCCCCATCCAGGTTTGAAGAAACTGCTGCTGCGAAGCCCCTTTAAGGGCCCCACCACAGGTCGGACCTCGAGGGCGGTACAACACACAAATCAAATCCCACCAGCCCTTTGGGCGTGAGTGGTTTAGAGAGCCCGCTCTGTCCTCAACCCCCTATCTTCCTCTTCGGGGAGGGGTTTACCCCTCCCCCTACCCCCTCCCCTGGACCTGGAGAGGGCGGGCCGAGTGGTGGCAAGGGGGTCTTTTTCGACTCCTGGGAGGGCCAAAAAACGACGACCCTCACGAGGATTCTGGTCCCGAGGGGGGGGGTAGTTTGGCCCCTTAACTCGTCTTTGAAGCCAGCAACATTGATTTTACTACGGTTTTGGCCCCATTTTGGCCTTCTGAGGGGGCCGCGCTCATCTCCCTTCATAGCAAAATCATTGATTGTACGAAGGTTTTGGCCTCATTTTATCCTTCTCAGGGGGCAGCGCTCATTTCCGCTTCTGAGGAGGTCGCAAAAGGCCCCACGATGGCCCCAAGAGGCCCCCGGGAGGCTCCCAAGAGGCCTCCAAGAGGCCCCCAAGAGGCCCCCAAGAGGCCCCAAGAGGTCACCAAGAGGCCCCCAAGAGGCCCCCAAGAGGCCCCAAGAGGCCCCCAAGAGGCTCCCAAGAGGCCCCCAAGAGGCCCCAAGAGGCGCCCAAGAGGCCCCAAGAGGCTCCAAGAGGCTCCCAAGAGGCCCCACGAGGAGCCCGAACGACTCACACCAGGACGAGGGGCCCCAACGACTCACACCACGAGGAGCCCGAACGACTCACACCACGACGCGGGCCCCCAACGACTCACACCACGGGAAGCCCGAACGAGTTACACCAGGAAGAGGGGCCCGACCGACTCACACACAAGGAGGGGACTCATACCACCAGGAGCCCGAACGACTCACACGGAATGAGGGACCCGAAGGAGTCACACAAGGAAGGACGAGGGGCCCCAACGACTCACACCACGAAGAGCCGGAACGACTCACATATCTGCAACGCACACAGACGCGAACTCTCGCATTATCTCTGGAGGCCCTCCCGTGGCACTGCAAACCTGCAAGTCCCACCAGCCCTTTGGGCGTGAGTGGTTTAGAGAGCCCGCTCTGTCCTCACCCCCCCATCTTCCCCTTCGGGGAGGGGTTTACCCCTCCCCCTACCCCCTCCCCCTGGACCTGGAGAGGGCGGGCCGAGTGGTGGCAAGGGGGTCTTTTTCGACTCCTGGGAGGGCCAAAAAAACGACGACCCTCACGAGGATTATGGCCCCGAGGGGGGGGGGGAGTTTGGCGCCTCAGCTCGTCTTTGAAGCCAAAAACATTGATTCTACTACGGTTTTGGCCCCATTTTGCCCTTCTGAGGGGCCGCGCTCATCTCCCTTCATAGCAAAAT